AGCCAGGTGCTGTGGTGCATGCCTGTGATCCCAGCACTCTGGGAGGCTGAGGCAAGAGGATCGTAAGTTTGAGCCCAACCTGGGCAATTTAGTGAGGCTGTGTTTTAAAAGAAAAAGAAAAAAAAGATAATGAAAGACATAGCAGAAATGTTAGGAAGTCTACTCATCTGGGTTCTTTCCATAAAAGGACAAATAAATAATGTTAAAGTTGAGCTACTTAGAGGACGGGACATGGGCAAGGTAAGATATGTCACACACCACACTGAAACTCAGTATCTGTACAATTAGTATGCATTCATTAAAAGTGTATGTTAGGGGCTGGGGATTTAGCTCAGCGGCATAAGCACCTGCCTTGCAAGCAGGCAGTTGTGATTCGATCCCCGGTACCGATAAAAAGGAAAAAGACAAAAAAAAAAAAAAGTGTATGCTAAGGAAAAAAGGAAAAAGTCCTAAAAGACCTAAGAGAAGCTATATTAATAATCATATTGAGGCTGCCAAGCAGACAGTTCCAAATGCTGTACAGGATTAATGCAATAGTAACTCTTAGCTGTAACTATGTACTTCTTTTCTCTCTTGGGGCAGGGTCTTCCTACAGCGCCCAGGCTGGCCTTGAACTCTAGGGGACCCTCCTGCCTCGGTCTCCCAATGCTACAGGCGTGTGCTACTGTGTCTGACTCTGTTGCACCGCTGTTTCTCTCTTAGGATGAGAAGGGACGGGAAGAAGGCAGAACCGGAAGGGGGGGGGCAGGGGACAAGGGGGCCCTACAGAACCCGGACTTCAGCGTCTCCTGGGCCTCCCTAGGCCTGCTGGGCTTGGGGACCACGCGGTGCACTCACAGAGGCACCGCTGGGCTGCTGGGGTGCAGGAAGGGCCACGCCCAGCACAGCTCTCAGGCTCCCTTCAGAAATGGTCCTAAAGGCTCCTGAAGGGACCAGTAAACATTTGTTCAAAAAGCTAGAACTTGGTGAGAACAGCGAGAGCCTGTGGTTTCTGAACTGAGACCCGCTCCAGCCCCAGCCAGCGCACCAAGATGGAAAATCTGCTCTGGCCTCAGGCAGCCAGGAACACCGGGCTCCTCTGCCCTCTGCCTTGGAAGCTTTCTGCCCGGGAGGGCCAGGGAATGAGAACTTCTCATCCTGCCCCCAGCGACTGGTTCCTTGCCCGCTGTTCTGGGCAAGTGTGTCCAAGAGGCGGGGTCTCCCAGCTTGCGGCCAGTGCCTTGGAACTGGGTGTACCACCCCTGGAGACCCCGGGGTCCCTGTTCCCTCCTAAGGTGGAGGTTCTAGTTGGGACAGGAAGCTAGGAAATCGGGAGCTTGCTCCGAAAGAGGGGCTCCCCCACCATGGAGCACCCAGCTTGGAAAGAGCAGTGCTATTCAGAGAAAAGCTGGACCGTTTTGTGCCTGGCTCCAGAGCCCTGGCATGGAGATTCTGCCCAGGGAGCAGGACGGAGCCTAGGACACAGAGTCCCCGTCACCTCCCGAGGGAGCTGACTTCATTTGCTGCACAGCCTGGCGAGGGCAAAGCTCTCAAAACCGGCAGAGGCTGAGATTCACTATGCCGGATCACCCCAGGCTGGCTTGGGTCTCCCCAGAGAACCAGGAAAGGGGACAGTGGGGCAGGACTCCCCCAGGCTGCCCTCGGCCTGCTCCAGTGAGCGAACCTGAACTCCACCGGCCCAGTCTGGGGGCACTTTCGGCCCCAGGACAATGTTCAACCACTGGAGCATCGGCAACCAGTGGGATTTAAAAGATATATCAGGTGAAAAGACAAACAGAGCCCTGTCCCAGCCACTGTCATCCCAGGGTGACTGCGGGTGTCCCCCAGGCCATGCCCAGAGGCAGAGTGGAGCACAATGTTCCTTCAGCCAAGGGGTGAAAGCAAACATGCAGATAACAGCCAGCCTTGGGCCTTGGTACTCAGGTGCAAGGCTACGTTATCCAGCATGTGTGGTTTCCCACACAAAAAAATATGGGGACAGGGGAATAAACAGGAGAGTGCAACTCACACCCCTGAGAGAGCCCAGGAACCGGGCTGAACATCAGGGCGATCAGCCTTGCAGGTGCCCTCACGTGGGCTGAGCGGACAGCAAAGGAGCCCTGGGCGCAGCTCGGTGTGATGCACTTGCTTAGCATTATGTGAAGCCCTGGGTTCAATTCCCAGCACCGCCAAAACAAAACAAAGACATGAAGAAGCTAGAACATAGAAGGAAGACATGGTGACAAAGTTGCACCAGATGGAAATTACTGAAGAGAACCAAACGCCAGCTCTGGAACTGAGAAGCGTAATGCAGCAGGACTTTGGTTCATGAAACTAGTTCTTACCACGAATCTGGTTGAAAACTGAATCAAATTGGTTTGCAGTCAGAGTCGTGGAAAGACCACGGTACCACTGTGACTGAGACAGAAATGGACGAGAGGCACAGCCAGGAGCTTCATTTTCAGGCTCCCCGTCACGTGGTGGTACGAGGGTTAAACCTAGGACTGTGCTGGGTAGGCGAGTGCTTTACCCCCTCAACTGTCTGCTCAGTGCTTTTAGCTTTTTATTTTGAGACAAGGTCTCTCTAAGTTTCCCAAGCTTTCTTCAAATTTGTGATCCTCCTGCCTCAGCCTCCCGAGTACCTGGAATTATGGGTGAGTACCACTGTGCCCAGCTACGAAAGATTCAAACTGGACAAAGAATTAGTGAATGTGAACACGAACTGATAGAGATTATGCAATCTAATACTCAGAAAGAAAGAGGGTACAACCATGAATGGAGCCCTGAGCAGTGCGGTCACCGCTGAGCCTGCTGCGGGGCGTGAAGTCTGAAGTGAGAGCTGGGAGACGGAATAACAACCCACCCCAGATTTAGAGGAAAACACAAATTTACACAGCCATAGACACATTGTGAAAATACCAAAGAACCAAAGACAAGGAGAAAACCCTGAAAACCACGGGGAGGGGAAGCAACTCGTCACCTGCAAGAAATCCCAAGCGGACAGCTGACTTCTCCCCGGGGACCACGGAGGCACTCAGCATCCTCAAAGAGAAAAAACTGTTCCCCCAAATGTGTATCTCCAACAAAGCTAGCTTTCAAAAATGAAAGCAAAAAGGGAAATTTCCAAATAGACAAGAAGAGAGCTAATGAGGGGGTGTCTTGTTTTGTTTTGAGACAGAGTCTCATTCTGTATTTCAGGCTGGTGACCCTCCTGCCTCAGCCTCCTGAGTTTTGGGATGACAAGTATGAACCATTATGCCTACTGAGTTCTTTCTTTTCTCTCCGTCTCTCTTTCTTTCTTTCCTTTCCTTTTTTTTTTTTTTTTTTTTTTTTTTTTTGATACAGGGTCTCACTACATAGTTCAGACTGGCCTTGAATGCAGGGATCCTCCTGCCTCAGCCTCTCCAGGGCTGGGATTACAGGCGTGTGCCACCACACCCAGCTAGTTTTTTCCTTTTTAACTTTTTTATTTCTTTGTAAATTTTTGTTCTTTTTCTCTTTCTCTTTTCTTTTTTCCTCTTCCTTTCTTTTTCTTCTTTAAACTGATAATTGCTTGTAAGAAATACTAAAGGAAATCCTTCAGGCAATGACAGTAAGTCACACACATAAAAGCAAACATCAGGAAAAAAATGTGTAAAAAAATAATTATTTGATTATAAAAGGTAGTATAAATATTCTTCTCTTTATTAAGACTTTAAAGCAAAAGTATAAAACAATATGCATGTCAGAAATTGGGAGGCTGAGGCGGGAGGATTGCAAATTCAAGCCCAGTCTGGGCAGCTTTAACAACTTATCAACCTAGCAAGCTCCATCTGAAAAAAAAAAATAGAAAGGGCTGGGGATGTAGCTCAGTATGGAAGCCCTGAGTTCAGTGTCCAGTACTAGAAAATGAAAGAGAAAAAAGGAAAGATAAAAGAAGAAAGAAATTTAACGCATTGGCCACTCAGCACAAGGGAAGTGCTGGGATTTGGTGAAGCAAGTGACGTAAGAGAGCGCTGAGGCCCGCGGGGACAGCAGAGAGAGCCAGAGTAACACTGTCAGGGCAGGCAGGAGAGCGCTTAGCATTCTGAAAACGATCCATTCTCTCAACATTGCAGGCGCCCTTTTACTCTGATAGCTGAGGTGACCCTAAAATTATATGGAGATGCACAGGCCCGAAGTGGTGAGGACCACTGAAAAAAGAACACAGCTAGAGGATCATTCCTGATGACAAAATTCACTGCAAAGCTGGTGCGGTACCAGCAGAATTGGGAATCTAGAAGCCGGCACACACATCTATGGTCAGCTGATTTTGACAAGGGGGCCAAGATGATCCAGTGGGGAAGAACAGTGCTTCCTATAAGACGTGCACACACACCTGTAGTCCCAGCACTCCAGGAGGCTGAAGCAGGAGGATCACAAATTTGAGCCCATTCGAGGGAATTTAGCAATGTCCTGTTTCAAAATAAAAATGAAGGCGGGCTGTGGTGGTGCATACCTGTAACCCCAGCCCTGGGGAGGCTGAGGCAGGAGGGTCACCACAAGTTCAAGCAGAACTGGGGTACATAGTAGGTTCAAGCCAGCCTGAATTACAGAGTGAGATCCTGTCTCAAAAACCAAAAATAACAAATAAAATCAATAAATACATAAATAAAAATTAAAGGGTCTAGGGCTATAGTTAATTGTATAGAAGGCCCTGTGTTCAATCCCCAGTACTGGGTACAAAATAATATCTATAAATGATTCACACAGGGTCACAGGCAAAAGATTGAAATTGAGTCTCAGCTCATATCACAAACAAAAGTAAACTCAAAGGGATCAAAGACCTAAATAGGAAAGCTGCAACTACAAATAGCTTTAAAAAACATGGTAATAAATATTCATGATTTTGATTAGACAATGGTTCCCAAAAGCATAAGTAATAAAATTTTTTAAAAATCTTAAAATAGATTTCATCAAAATGAAATTTTTGTGTTTCAAAAGTCAGTTGAGAAAGTGAAAGGACAACTCACATAATGGGAAAAAATTTTGCAAACCACATATCTGAAAAGGGAATTTATTTAGGGTTAAGAGGACTCTTACATATCAACAATATAAAAACAAATACTTGGGCAAAAAGATCTAAGCAGACCCATTTGCAAAGAAGATGTGTAAATGGCAAATACACAAGCAGAAGTGCTTGATACCATTAGAAGCACAAATCAGATCCACAGGAGACAGCATGTCGCAGTCTAACCCCAGCTATAACAGGAAGGCCAATAGTTTCAAGTATCGGCAGGGAGGCAGGACCCTCACTGCCGCCAGTGGACACGTAACCGGCAGCGTCCTTTCCTTGAATGGTCAAACGTGGAGTTAGACGAGGATCCAGCAATTCCACTCCCAGGTACATGCCAAAGAAAAATGGAAACATATGTTCAACAAAATATCTGCACACGAATATTCACAGCAGGATTTAGCACAATTTCCTGAAGGTGGAAACAAACCCAAAGTCCCTTAATTGAAAAATGACAAAATTTGGCAGATTTGTGCCAGGGGTGGTGGCGCACCCCTGTAATCCCAGCACTCAGGGGGCTGAGGCCGGAGGATCATTGCAAATTGGAGACCTGCTGGGGCTACAGAGTGAGCTCAAGGCCAGCTTGAACCGCATAGGGAAAGCCTGTCTCAGAAAGACAAAAGAAAAAAAGAAGGCAGATTCATAAAATGGAATATTGTTTGACCACGAAAAAGAAAGAAGTCATGATACACACTACAGCATGGATGAATCTTGCAGACATGTGAAAGAAGTCAATCATAAATGTGAAAATCCCAGTGTAGACAAATTTACGCAAACCACAAAGTAGAAAAGTTTTTATACAAGGCTAGGAGCAATGAGGGCTAGAAAGCAATAATTAAAGACAACAAGATGCTTTGCTTTAGTTTTTGATGTGATGAAATGTTGTAAAGTTGCCTGGGATGGCATTGTATAGGTCTGTGAATATACTAAAACATTCATAAACTGGGAGTGGTGGTGCACACCTGTGATTGCAGTACTTCAGAGGCTGAGGCAGGAGGATCACTGCGAGTTCAAGGCCAGCCTGGGTTACATAGTGAACTGAAGGCCCGCCTGGCCTGTACTACATAGCAAGACCCTGTGTCAAAGCATGCACACACACACACACACACACCCCCCCACACACAAATTTAATTATACAATTTAAATTATGTAGTGTGTGAACTATATCCCAATAAAATTGTTTTGTGATGTAATTCTTCGTAAGGTTTTGAGGTTGTTTTTAAAAATGGAACTCTCCATACAAAAACAAAATAATGATAACATACTGATATACGTTTTACAATGTCAAACTTATAATGTTTACATATAATCATAGAAAATACTGAATCAACCTAAATCAAGATTTGCTTTGATGATTGCAAATGTGTAAACATTTGGTGTAAAAGACATTTCAGCATATAATCTATGTTTTGAAAATAACTAAAAATATTGTTTAAATAAAAATGGGGGATGGAGATTTAGCTCAGCGGCATAAGTGCTTGCCTGGCAAGTGTGAGGTCGTAAGTTTGATCTCCGGTATCGACAACAACAACAAAAAAGTCAGTGGTTGGGCGCGGGGGATTTAGCTCAGTGGCATAAGCGCCTGTCCTGTAAGCAGGCAGTCGTGAGTTCGATAAAAAAAAAAAGTCAGTGGTTAAGGAAGATTAAAATTTATAGAACCAACAGCTCATGCAGCCTAGTTTTGTTAAACCTTCATACTTTACAATATTTGTTTCAGATTTTTTTCTTTTCTTTTCTTTTTTTTTTTTTTTTTTTCTTTTTGATACAGGGTCTCTCTATGCAGTTCAGGCTGGCCTTGAGCTTGATTTGTACCCCTGGCTGCTCTCAAACTTGCAACGATCCTCCTGCTTCAGCCTCCCAAGTGCTGGGATTACAGGCATGAGCCACCATGCCCGGCTCAGATTTTCTTTTAAGCAATAAAATATAGTAAAGCCAGTTGAAGTCCCCTGTCTGTTTCTCCCCATTCCATCTTCCTCAGCCTCCAGAGTGCTGTGATTACAGGTGTGTGCCACAACACCTAGCATGACATAGTCAGTCTTAATCATTACATTTCCTTGTTTTCTGCATTTAAAAAATGCTATCCCAGAGCTAAGGATATAGCTCAGCAGCACAGTGCCTAGCAAGTGCAAGATCCCACATTTGATTCCTGGTACCCCCTGCCCCCTAAAAATGCTGTTCCATTTCCTTTTGGCCTTGATGGCTAATGAGAATTAAGAATAATGTACAGTGTTGTTCTCTCTTATAATGTAACTTTCCTCTCTAGCTAATGCCATGATTTTTTGTTTTGTTTTGTTTTGAATCATTTAACTAGATTGTGTCTGTGTGTGTACATTTTTTAAATTATCCAGTTCAGGGTTCACTGAGTTTGCTGAATTTGTAGGCTTATGTATCTTTTTCTTTTATGTATTCCAAATCTGTCCTCATGCTCTAGTTGCATTTTATGTGACAGATGGGGATGTCCTTCCACTTAATCTTGAAAAAGAAAATTAAAGTTCATTTTAATTGATATTAATAGTGCAGCTCCGCCTTTCTTTGGATTAGAATTTGCCTAGTATAAGTTTTCTGTTTCCTTTATTTTTAATATTTCTGTATTCCATATTTATGCATCTAGTTTTTTTAATCTATGAATTTTTTCCATTTACATTTATTGTGATTAATTACATGTTTCAGATTTTACTATTTCTTTCTTTTATTGCCTCATTCTTCTTCCCCTACTATTTTCTGATTGGCTAAACTTTCTGTTTTTTCTTCCTATTTGTAGTGGATTAACTAATGGTCAGTTTAAAACTCCCTGCTGAACTCCTTGAGCGTGGTTCTAGATGTGCACAAACCTGAGGACTGTTGCCAACAGCATAAAAGAACAACTGGAGGGGAAGACAGTGTGCTGCTGAATCTCCTGGAGAAGCTTGTCTGCTGGCCTTCCTGATGTGAACTCAGCTTTTATCACTGGAGGAGCTCGGGGCATCTCTGTCTCTGAGGATGGCTACGGTTCTCATTGGGGGAGCTCTGGCCTTACCTTGAGTGCTGCTTCCTGGCTCCAGAGCAGATCCCTCAGCCTGCTGGCACTGATCCTTCATCCTGCTGGTGCGGCCTTTCTAGCTTCCACGCTGACCTTTGGGCCTTCCCAGTGCAAATCCTTGATACAGACTTGCATGAGACATTGTGGTGTCTTCAGCTGGACTTCTGCAGGACACTGCCATGGGATCCAGGCCTCAGCTGGATTCTTTGGGTCTTTTGTGTGTGGACAGATCATCCATACTCTTCTGCATTTGACTGTTTGGGTGAATATTATAAAATAATCCTATAAATTATGTATCTTGTGTTAAATCTATTCCCCTGAAAACGCTGACTGTAACACTATTGGTCCCACTACAGATACTGCTTTAGAAGTGATATCCTATTTTTTCTTTATAGATTACTCTTAAAATTAAACCCCCTCACTTAGACTAACAGTGTCTACACTGCACATGTATTGTCTCAGCTAATATGATGAACTGAGCCATCTATTACATTGTTTTTTGATGGCACTGGGGATTGATCCCAGGGCCTTCACACTGAACTATATCCCCAGCCCTTTTGACTCTGAGACACAGTGTTGCTAAGTTACCCAGACAGAAATCAAATCTGTGGTCCTCCTGCCTCAGCCTTCCAAAGTGCTGGGTTTACAGGCTTTTGATCGAGTCTTTTCATACTCTAAACTTACTGTTAGCAGTAGATTTACTCATGTTTACTCACCATGTTGTACAATAGAATCTTGAACTTAAAAATTTTTATCTAACTGAAAATGTGTTATCTCTTAACTAATATCTGCCCAGTCTTCTCTACCCACATAAAATCTTGGTAACCACTACTCTACTTTGTTATGAATTCCACTTAAAGTTTTCACGTAGAAATTGGGTGAGGTAATACATACATAATCCCAGCACTCTGGAGGCTGCGGCAGGAGGATCATCATGAGTTTGAGGCCAGCTTGGGCTGTACAGTGAGTTCAAAGCCAGTTTGAACTACATAGTGAGATCCTGTCTCAAAAACAAACAACAAACAAAATGTGAAGGTCACAATAACTTTTAAAAACATTTCATATATAAGTGAAGAGATGTGATATGTGTTTTCCTGTGCCTGGATTATTTTATTCAACATAAAGTCCTCCAGGTTCATTGATGAGGTCATGAATAGGACTTCCTTCTTTTTAAAGGCTGAAATATTCCACTGTATGTACCTCATTTTTTTTTTACAATAGTCTTCTGGTTTCTAATGATGCATTGACGAATTGGCAGCACAGTTAAGATTCCTTTGGAGGTAGTTGGTCTTTTCCAGTTGACTTTAAGATCTATCTAATTTTTTTTTTTTTTTTTTTTAGCACTGGGGGTTGAAGTGAGGACCTTCACACTGAGTTGCATTTTAGTCTTTTTTATTTTGTTAATTTTGAGATAGGGTCTCAAAAAATGCCCAGGCTAAACTCAAATTTGTAATTCTCCTGCCTCAGTCTCCCAGAGTGCTGGGATTATAGGAAAGGATTTATATTTTTCCCAGTGGTGGAGCTTTGTAGACCTTGTCTCTTTGAATTCGACCTCTCCATCATTTGCCTATTCTCTCTTTATAGCTGTATGTTGGACTTTGTTGTTTTATTAATGTCTTTTATACTATCTGTGTTAGAAAGTTTTTGCTGCATAACACATCACTCCAACATTAATTAGCTTAAAATAATGATCATTTGTCTAATTCACACTTCTGAGTGTTAGTAATTTGTGTTCAGCTCGGCTGGATGGTTGTTCTGGTCTTGCTCCAGCTCACCCATACTCATGCAGGCAGTGTCCAGGTCAGCTGGGGGCTGGCTGTCCAAAGTGGCATAGGGTGGGATGGCATTCCCTACCCTTCTTTTCCGTTTCTTTCCTTCCTTTTCTTTCTGTTTTTCAGATGGAATCCAAGGTCTTTGCACTAAGCTATATCCACATATGCCCCCCCCCCAGACACAATCTTGTTAAATCGATAAATTACCCAGCTGGGCTCCAATTTGGAATCTTCCTGCCTCAGCCTCCTTGAGTGCTGGGACTGGATTACAGGTATGTGCCACCACACCCTGCTGGGATGGCTCTTCTGTGTCTCACCCTCCAGACTTGTGGCACTAGGGGCATCATGGGTGTGAGTGATTTGCAGAAGCTCTCTGGAGGCCAAGGTCGAATCAACATTATTGCCACAGCCTGTTAGTCAAAGAAAGTTTCACAAGAGGGAGAAAAAAAACCTTTTTTCATGGTGGAAGCTTCAAAATTACTTGGAAGAAAATTGAATTTTATAAAATTAAGAAAGTGATATTTTTATATCTTTGAATTTGCAGCCCATTCAGGACAGTAGTTTAGAGCATAAACTCTGGGGTCAGCATGTAATTATTTTGGCCATTTTTCCAATTTACCATCCTCCCTGTCACTGGCTTTTTGTTTTTAACTGTATCATCTGCCTTGTGGAAAAAATTGCCTCAAATCTTCTAATCCTAATCCTAAATCTCTCTTTTTTTTTTTTTTTTTTGTCTTTTTCGTTTTTACACGACTGCCTGCTTGCAAGGCAGGCACTTATGCTGCTGAGCTAAATCCCCAGCCCCCTAAATCTCTTTTTGAATATGACCAATTTTCAGTTTAATTATCCACTAACAGTTTAATTTAAATGACTGTGTTAAACTGGACAAAGTGGGGGCACATCTGTAATCCTAGCAGTCTCGGAGCCTGCGTCCGGAGAATTCCAAGTGTGAGCCCAGCTCAGGCAACTTAGTGACTTTAGATTCTGTTTCAAAATTTTAAAAAATGATAATAAATAGATAAATATATATATACACACATATTCATAAATATACATATATATGCTAGAGATTAGGTTGTGTTCAATCTCAAAACATAACAAAACAAAATAAAACAGCCAGGTATAGGGGCTGGGGGGTTTAGCAAGCACGAGGTCGTGAGTTGTGAGTTCAATCCCCGTACCTAAAAAACAACAAAACAAAACAAAACAAAAAACCACCCAGGTATATGATCCTCTCTAGTGCAGCTGTTTTTTCTCAGATCCAGTTTTGTCCTGTGGGTTTGCACCTTGTGCTCGCAAGCGCTCATTCCCGTCTCTCCAGCTGGCCCTGGAGTTCGGTGCTCCTGTGGATGCCCACATTTCCATTCACATTGCAGTTTGGGGGTCCTGAGGGACGAATCTAAAGCTGCACGTGCACCAGCCCCAGGTGGACCTTCAGGAAGATACAGGATTCCCGCCACCAGGTTGGGCCAGGCGGTGTCCTGGTCTCGAGGCGCCTAACTCTTGGGCCCCAGGCGCATGGAGCGCAGAGCTCGCGGCGGCCACAGCTTTACTGGGTCCCCTTCTCCCTCTCGGTTCATCCTCAGGCCTTGCCGCCTCCTGGTCCGCGGGCTGACACCGCCACCTCTGCAGTCTCTTCCCCACCGTCCCAGCCTGTGGGGACGGCTGGGACTGAGGAATCCACACAGTCCCTCCAGCCTGGCTCTGAGATTTCCTTTCTGTTTATTCACAAGGATGCTGTTCACAGGGCGAGGTGGCCCACGCCCTGTGATCCCGGCACTCTTGGAGGCTGAGGCAGGAGGATCCCAAATTCAAACCCAGCCTGGGTTTATTTAGAGATTTAGTGAGATCCTGGCTCAAAATATAAAACAGAACAAGAGCTGAAGGTGTAGCTCAGCGTGAAGGCCTGGGGGCGGCCCCCAGTACTGAAGCCAGGGGAGGGAGGGGAGAGGGAGGGAGGAGGACTGCAGCGGGGAGAGCCGCTTTCAGGGCCGTGCAGAGTGGGCTGGGGACCACCGCTTAAGAGGGGAGACCCTGGGCTTCCCACCGCTTGGTTCTCGTCTGGGGCCCGTCCCTTCCCCCTGAGCTCCTTTTCCAAACAGCCTCTGCACCCCAGGGTGGGGACTCCCTGCTCCCCCAGCCCGGGAGGAGGGCGCCGCATACGCGCGTGGCACGCGGGCTGGAGCAGGCGGGGACGCGAGCCAAGAGCTCCTCTGCCCGCGCAGACAGAGGGGCCTTTCATCGCCGCGCGGCCGCTGCCAACACAAACGCGGGCGGAACCGAACCCGCGCCCCTCGCTGGCGCCGCGCCGCTTTTCCGCTCTGCACAAGGGCGGGGCGGGCACGCTCCTGGCCGGCGCCGCGCTCAGCACAAGCAGGGCTGCGGCCTCTCGGGAGCCCGCCAGGGTTTCCCCGACTCTGGCTCCGCCTGGCCCGACTCGGGCCTAACAGTCTGGGATCGCCTCTTGTAGCCCCTCGGCCAGTGCGAACTTCCTCATCTCTCCAGATGAGGGATAGGGAAAGGGCCAGCCCTGGACCCCCAGCAGACGCCCTCCTGAGGCTGGGTGCTCCAGGGGTTTGCCACCACAGCCTGGAGCGAGCGCACCGCTAAAATGGGTGCAGAGAAAGCATTTTACCTACAATTCAGGGCCCGAGTGAGGCTGTGGGGAATTGTATTAGTCTGTTTCCATGGCTATGAGAAAAGGACCTGAAGTTGGAGATTATTTTATTTTGGGGGGGAGACAATTTTGGGAGGGGGATTGGGATCGAACTCCCGACCTCACACTTGCCAGGCAGGCGCTTATGCTGCTGAGCTAAATCCCAGAAGACAATTTTAAAAAGAGGTTTAGTTTACAGATTTGGAGACTGAAAAGTCCAAGAACAGATTACCCTCCCTGTACTGGTGATTGAACCCACGGCCTACACTGTGACATCCCCAACCCCTCAGCTCTTAATTTTTAACACATTTTCTGTCTTTTTGCCTTTTTTTTTTTTTTTTTTTTTTTTTTTTTTTGGTACTGGGAATCAAACTCAGGGCTTTGCACTTGCCAGGCAGGCACATATGCCACTGAGCAATATTCCTAACCCTCCAGTTCTTCATTTTTGAGGTAGGATCTTGCTAAATTGCACACACTGGGCTCAAACTCATGATCTTCCTGCCTTCCAGAGTGGTATGATTTACAGCGAGTACCACCATGTTATGCTTTTTTTTTTTCTTTCTTTCTTTTTTCTTTCTGAGACAGTAGTCTTAGTATGTAGTTTATGCTGGCCTTAACCTGTGCAACCCATGCTGACTTCAAATTCATGGCGATCCTCCTGCCTCAGCCTCTAACTAGGGCTCTGAGAATGACACTAATCCCTTTGCAGGGGCAGCCCTGGCTTCCACCCCAGAGGAGTGCACAATCACAGAGAACACTATCTCCTATCCTGATTGGTCCATGGATTAGTTTTGCCTCAATTTGAGCCAATCAGAGCTTCCTAGGCGTCTGTGCTGCCCAGGACCAGATTGCAGTCTGGACACCCAGAAGGTGTGAAGTGGAGGCTGACCCCATTCTTGGCGCTGGCCCTGGCCCTGAAGGAAGCTGGCTGTGGGGACCTGGGAGGATTGCCACACAGGGGTAACAGAGGCAGAGCAGGTTGAGAGGGACAGGAGAAAGGAAAACACACAGAGCTGGAGCTTGGGTCATCACTGTTCCCTGGCCACCGTGAACGATGGCAGCCAGCCATTTCTGCCTGTGTTTGAGCAGATGAAGCCGAGTGTGCAGCTGCATCTAACATCCACAATAACCTCTGGACTTGGAATCGGTTACCTTCATGATGACATGCTGCTGTCCCTTCTTCCCACCAGTGTTGAGAATTGAAGCCAGGCCTGGCACTGAGCTACATCCTCAGTCCTTTTATCTTATTTATTATTTTTTAAAATTTTGAGATAGGATCTCACTGAGTCGCTAAGTTGCCCAGGCTGGGCTCGAACTTACCATCCTCCTGCCTCAGCTTCTGGAGTTCTGGGATCACCGGTGTGCACCACTTCGCCAGGCTTTTGTTCCGCTATTGGGCTGTGCCCAGGTCTGTGGATCTGCTTTTCGCACGTTGAGGAGGGAGAAGCAGCAGCAGCAGGTGACAGCTGGTGAGCTACTCGAGTTTTGGGTATGGCGTGAGAATTGGCACCAAGCAGCCTCCCAGCTCGGGTCCCAGTGTCTCCCAGTGGGCGGAGCCTAGACCACGGGGGCGTGGCCTCCACCGTGCTCTGGGACCAGGGTTTTTTCTCTGCTTTGGCTTCCTTCCATGGTGCGCCTCCTGCAGACCCAGAGCTGCAGGGCAGCTTGACAGTGGCCTGAGACACCCCACTGCACCCAGGAAACCTGCCTTCATGTCACCTTGGGTGCTCGTTACTGTTACTGGAGGATGGAAGGCTAATTGCCTCTCCCAGCGACTCCACCGTAGGGAGGGCAAGAAAGTGGGACCTAAGGAGGAGGAGGGCTGGAGAGCTGTGAGTGCATCTCCGTATATCATACATCTCATATGGAATTAATTCCCAGGTTACAGAGTTCTTTTTTTGGGGGGGGGGTCTTTTTTCGTTTTTATCAGTACCAGGGATCAAACTCACGACTGCCTGCTTACAAGGCAGGCACTTATGCCGCTGAGCTAAATCCCCAGCCCCTGTTACAGAGTTCTTACAATTCAAAGATATAAAGAAACCTCAGATTAAAAATGGGCAAAGGATCTCAAAAGGAACGTCTCTAAAATGATATACAAATGGGCCAATACGTACCTGAGATGAGGCTCAACTCCACTTGTTGTTAGAGGAATGCAAATCAAAGTTCAAGCGGATGTGGTTTCTCAGCCACTGGGGTGGCTAGGACAAGAAGAAAAAAGGAAAATAACAAGTGTTGGCGAGGATGAAGGCAAATGGGAATGTAAATAGTGCAGCTGCTGTGGAAACACTCCCGGCTGTTCCACCCAAATAGCTGAAAACAGCAGTTCTGACAACAGTCACATTCACACTAGTCAAAAAATGGAAACAAACCACTTGCCCTCAACTAAGAACTGGATAAACAAAGAGATGGCAGTGGTTCCACACAGCACAGGGTCATTCAGTCATCAAAGGGAATGACAAGCCAGGCATGGTGACTTAGGCCTGTGATGCCAGCACTCTGGGAGGCAGAGGCAGGAGGACTGCAAATTCCAGCCCAGCCTGGATTAGGGATTTAATGAGATCCTGTTTCAAAATAACATAAAAAAGAGCTGTGGACATAGCTCTGCACGAAGGCCCGGTGGTCCCATCCTTTAGTACCACATGGGCACACACACAGTCTCACACACACATCATGACAAATTGGTCCGTGCTACAGCAGGAACTTTGAAGACATCGTGCCAGGTAAAAGCAGCCAGACAAAAAAAGACTACATGGTCTATGATTCCATTATATGGAATATTCAGAATAGGCAAATCCAGAGGCAGGAAGTACATTAGTAGTTGTCACAGCCTGAGGAAGCAGAGAATGCCAGGTCCCTACTATGGGTGTAGTGTTTCTGTTTGAGGTTATGAAAATATTCTGGAATTAGGTAGGATGGTTGCATAACCTTATGAATATGCTAAAAAAAAACCCTGCGCTGAAATTACACATACACACACACACACACACTCACACACGTGTATGCATGCATGCATATATGTATATGATCCTTTTTTTCTTTGGGACTGGGGATTGCACATAGAGTCTTCCCAATGTGCCACATCTCAGCACTTTTTTTACATTTCATTTTGAGACAGGGTGTTACATTCCCTGCTAAATTGTTCAGGCTGGACTGGAACATGTGACCCTCCTGCCCTAGCCTCCCAGAGTGCTAGGATTACAGGCCTCCACCACCACGCCTAGCTTGAATTGTGTATTTTAAAAAAGTGAAATTCATGGTACATGGATTATATCTCGTTTTTTAAAAGGGGAAGATAGATGAAAGTATCCTGGAAAGTAACTCACTCTCCTGGAAGTAGAAAAGATTGCCCACGGCATCAACTGTGCAGAGGAAGGAAGGGGTGACATGTTTGACCTAGAGGACCTGGAGGAGGAGGAGGCGGGTGAGCACACAGAAGTAGGGGGTGAGGGAAAGAGGCTGTTTTGATAGGCCCAATGGCTCTGATTTTCTCCACAGAGGAGCTGGCCCAGTCCCTGGCTGGGGAGATGCATGGGGGTGTCTGGAAGAGGGGGACTTGGGAATCCAAGGCAAAGTTTGGAGTGGTCTCGTGGCATCAAAGGGCACCCCGTGACGGTGATGGTGACGCACGAAAAGGGCTGCTGAGTAATTCTGAGGTTGGAAATGCACCTTGGCGATTTCGCATGTCCTCTGCGGGGCCTGAGTGAGCCCTTTGTGGGCTGCAGAACACTGGGCTATTGACACCTGGTCCAGAGGTCAGGTCTCGGGTGCCACCTCCCCTCCAAAGGGCCTAGAGTCCTAGGCCCTTTGAGGGTTGGCTGGGGGCATGGGTTGTGGGGAAGAGATGCCCAGTATAGGGCCCCCAGCCTGGGCACCTTGGCTAGGGACCACAATTAGTTGGGACCCTAGAAAGGTTGCAGGCAGAGCTGGGAACCTTCGCCCTGGCAGTCAGCTCTGTTTCTGACACTGGCTCACAGCTGTTTCAGGCTCTGTGTTCCAGCAGCTCTTGGTGGCCTCAGGTTTGGGCGGGGGGGCTTCCCACTGTGTGAGTCCAACAGTGCAGGATGCATCAAAGATGTCACTGGGCTTGACATTTGAGGCCATTGTGGACGGATGTGGCCCCATGTCACAGGCACTAAAGATCACGGAGCTGGACTTCCTGCCACATGCTCTCTGGGCAGTTCCTGGCTGGACCTGTCTCCAAGACTGCACCCTGCACACTTGCTGGGGTCCCCAGCCCCTGGACTTTGGCAGGATGTCATCTTAGCCCAGCCCTGGCCTTTCAGTTCCTGCTGAGGTCTTGGTCAACCCCCTTGGTCTGTTGTTTTCCTGTGTTTTCATGGGTCCTTGATCCAGACATTTCCCAGCACAGTGGACCAATGTAGATCTTAGTCCAGGCCACCTGTTTTGCATTATCAAATGAAATGTGTCAGCCAAGTGTGGTGGCACATGCCTATAATCCCAGCTCTCTAGCAGGCTGAGGCAGAAAAATCACAAGTGCAGCCCAGCCTGGGAAATTTAGCATTTAACAGGAAGGCATCTATCAGGCTGTGCCGCTGCATGGAGATTCAGTCAAGTGTGATCCCAGCCCCCCAGGAGCTCCCAGGCTCAGGGAAGTCTAGCCAGACCCCTGTAGTCTGTAGGAGAGGCTCCCTGGGGGAGGCGGGCCTTCTGCACTGAATGAGAGTCTCAGTCTTACCTGGAGGCTGAGGTAGGGAGGCGGCCCCCGGACAGGACCCCCAGCCCAGTGGTGGGGCAGGCAGCAGCTCCAGGGGCAATGCAGAGGTTCTTCCCAGAAAACCAAGCAAAGCAGAGGGGTCAGCAAGACTAGGCCTCCAGGGGCAAGGCTCCAGCTGGCCCTGCCCTTGGGCCTCCTCCTCTTTCCCCTCAATATATTGGGGAGCCCAGCAAAGGTGAGCATCAGGAGCATGGAGACTGAACCCACATGCAGTGAGCGTGCATGTGTCCCCCAGAGATGCAGGTGGGACCTGTGTGCCGCCCCCAGATGGGAGTCTCTGTGGTCCTGAGTTTCTGCTGTTTGCATGGGTGGGATCCTTGGGTCTGATCTCTCTTTACCTGGCTGTGCAAGCCCAGGGCCAAGGCTGAGCCCAGCAAGAGAGCTAGGAATGGGCAAGATGGGAGACAGCAGAGTCCATCACCCACTGCAGCTGCGGCACGCCTTTCCCTTTCCTCTCCTCCCCCCGCCCTGCCCACACTACTGGGGCTCGAACCCAAGGCCTTTGCACTGAGCCACCTCCTTTTGAGATATGGTCTAAGTCACTAAACTGCTCTGGCTGGGCTCCAGCTTGGGATCCTCCTGCCTCATGTTCCCAGAGTGCTGGTGTTACAGGCAGGTGCTGCCACATCCAGCCGGTTCATCCTTAGTCTTAACATTTCACTTATAAGAAAAATGAAACACCTCTCAGCTTATTACAACATGTACATCATCTTAAATGCTTATAGATCTGCTGACATTTTTGTCTTTCTGGCATCTTTGCCTCCTAGGTCAAAGATGTGCGTGTGTGCCACACACATGGGGAGTCGGGGGACACAGGTGATTCTGCTCAGCGATGCCTGCACTGCCTGTCTGCCCTGATGGTGCCTTGATCATCAGGCCTCAGTGGTCAGGCGCACTCCTAACAGGTCAGTGAGAGCAGGTGCCAGGAAAAAGCCTGCCTCTTCCTGGAATCCAGCCTGGCTCTGGAGCTGGGGAGATCAAAGGATCCTCCAGCTGGTCTTCACCTGGGGAAGAGGAGTCTGGACTCCATAGCCAACAGTGCTGCCCCAACTGCCTGCTGCTTGCCCTGTGCCTCTCAGTCTCTGCAATGCGCTGTCCCTCCAGTCCACACTCTCTGTGCCATGCCTTTCCTGCTTCCTCCCAGGCTGGTCTCTGACACCATTTGAGGGCTGGCTGGTTGTATGGCTGTGCCCAACCTCAGTGGCTGTGCCCACTGTAGCCAAGGAGGGCATTACATAGTGTCCCTGGGGCCACCAGGTTTGTCTGGAAAGCATGAAGTGGGTTATGTCGCCACCTATTGCCCAACTTGCTCAGCAGAAGTCAGCCAAGTCCTTGTGTGTCCCCAGGGGAGAGCAGGCGAATCTTCAAGGGAAGACAGCAGCAGCCTCTGTGAGAGCAGCACAAGTTCCCCGCCCCCAGCCTTCACCGCCCTGCATGCTGAGGTGCTGGGGTGGAAGGGGAGCTCTAAGCAGTTACGTAGGCCCATAGGCGGTGCCTACCCTCCTCTATCCATCCTCCCTGGCTACATGGAAGCCTGGCATTTTTCCAAAGGTGAATGCCAAGCAAGTGCTCTACCAATGAGCCACATCCCCAGCCTGTTTTTGGAACTGGTGATTGAACCCAGGACCTGAGCTACATCCCTGGCTCTTTTCATATTTTATTTCATGACAGGGTCTTATAGAGTCAGTTTACAGACCTGCACCACCACACCTAGCTCGCAGCATTGAGAAATCCATTGTCCTGGGGCTGCCACTCCAGCAGGCTGCTAAGGGAAGGGGGCAGGAGTTGCCTGCCAGTGCCCAGCCCCACCTCCAGTCAGCGGTGGCCTGCCTAAGCCCACGGTAGCAGAATGCAGTCAGCCTCCTGGGGTAGGGTACACACTACCCTCCAGCAGGCCCCGGGCTGTGAGATGGAGGAGAGTGGATCCAACGCTTGGCCTTTCTAAAACAGGTTCAAGGGAATCCAGGAATGTGGGGCCTGGAAGGTGAGGGAGGTGCACCTTTGCAGTGGAGACTGTTTCAAAGAATCAAAGTCAAATCCAGTCAAACCAACATAATGTCCACTGGGTCTGACACCTGAGCAGATTGGAGAGGTGGCCGGTGGCAAGGGGCTTAGACACAAGATGGGAGAACGGAGGGTGTGAGATTGTGTGTGTGGGGGGCTGGCAGAGAGCTGAGGGTGGCAAGTGGGGCCTGCAGGGAAGACCTGGTGGCGATGCACTGCTGGGGTAAGTGAGACAAAGGGACAGGGACCCCCGCCCCCAGCTCAGCCTTGGCATGGAGCATAGCACAGAGGGTGGCACAGAATAAGAACCAGGGTCTTGCTGGGAGGCCAGCCTGCGAAGCGGGCAGGGAGCCCCCAGGGTCCAGGGATGAGGGGGGTTAACGGGCTTCAAAGTGTCCCACTAACTTGCCTTTTAACAGCTCCCACAGGAGGGAGTGGGATTCAGGGCACCCTCAGGCACAGTGTTGTTGGGAGCCGCGTCTGTGATAGCTCGCCTTGCGCGGCGGACGTGCGGCCTGTGGTAAAGAGCAAAGCCTGAGGTAGATTACCCCTCCCATCGAATATGTTAGTTTCCTGCTTACCGCGTAAACAACCCGCTCAACAATATAGTCTGCCTGGCAACTGATGATGTTAGCCAATCAGCTTGCCTTGCTCACTTTAACATGATTGGACACTGTATCCGTATATATACTGGTGCCACCCCTGGGGGGGAAGAAGAAGCCCGGAAGTAGAAGCCCAGAAGGAGCCGCGGGGAGCGGACCAAAGGAGGCTTCGGCTGGGAGCGATCCCAGGGCAGGCTGTACGGAGAAGGAAAATAAAAAGAAAAGGTTGTCCACTACCAGACTTTGTCGTGTGTCCTTCCTGCCGGCCGGGAGCGGACATCGACACAGTGTTATTAGGTGAAGGGGTGGGAGCTCCCCTTCCCTGCTGGTTCTGCCACAGCTGTGCTTCACCTGCAGAATTCAAACAGTCCACCCTGCTGGGTCTTGCAGGACAAGGGAATGTTTATTTACGGCAAAAACATTTGTAACATAATTCTGTCTTCAAAACGGAGAAGCCAGGAGAACCACAAAACAATCTCTATTTGTATTTACCAGGGGAGGTGAGCAGCCAGAAGGGGGGCTGGGGCTGGGACAAATGCCAAGGACTAATTCCTCCCCAAAACACAAGAAACTGCCTTTAAAAAGTAGCAGTTTTCTACTTGTCAGTAGCTATCTTTCCCCCTGCTGCCTGTGAAACACAAAGAAACAGAAACAGCACTTGGATTCCACAGGTCTGTCCCGGTCAGGCCTGGCGAGGGGGGGCTGCCACATGCCGGGAGCTCTTCCAGCTGTGACTCAGCTCCACTGCCCATGTAGCTCTCTTGGTGCAGTCAAATGAGGAATCTAGGAATCAAACAGAGCCGTTAGGAAGGGTGGTGGCCCAGCAGGCACAAGGTCATGCAGCCACCATGCAGGCAGAGCGGAGCCAGTTGGGTTGGTGCTGGCCTGCGGGAAGCCACGCCGGGGTCAGCTGCTGTCATCTGCCTGGCAGCCCTGGGAACTGCTAACCCTCAGCACGGCAGCTCTGAAATGCCAGAACACAGGCCAGGACCTCAGGAAATCTGGACAGAAAGACCCCCTAAGAGATCATCCAACTTCGTTTTTCAGATGAGGTCCCTGTTATAAGCTCAAAATGTACTGTACTTATTAATGCGCCTTTATAACTTGTTCTCTTCCTGTAAAACTTGTGTAATTACCAGTTAAGTTACAATCTTGCAACATACCCACTATGTAACCCACTATGTAACCCCCTCCCTCCCTCCCTGGTTCCTGTAACTGCTTGTTCCACCTCCCTGGTTCCTGTAAAACTAAACTAAATTACCTTTTATGGAGACCCTGACCCCTCCCCTTGTGACCTGCTACTTTATAACTCCCTGCGCCCCTGGCTGGGCCACACTTCCCTGGCTGCTTTCTGGGACAGTGTTGCCGCTGAAGTCAGCTAATAAAGTGCTTTTTAAAATTTTTGGAGTCTGTCGTTTTTCTGCCCATATCATTTGGGGACTTGCCCCGGATTCCACCTTTTATGAGATTTACCGCCCCCCACCTTCCAGGCACCTACTGTTCAGATGACATGGGGATCTTTTTGAATCTGGCTTCCTTCTATCAGCAAGTACTTATTACTTTCATTTTGATCCTCGATTATCTCATTTCCTATGTCTTGGGTCAAGTTTTCAGGCTTGTTCCTGTTTGGGCGAGATGGCGCCAAAATCAGGGCAGGTTACCACCTTTGAGGGAGGAATTAACCTCTGCTGGGTGTACCATACTTGGGGAGTCAATTTTTTAGGCTTGCTCCCATTTGGGCAAGATGTGGCCAAAATCTTATCTTAGCTCCCATATACTTTCATCTTCTTGTTCCATTCCTGATTCATCTATTACTGAGAATTCTTGCAGTTTAAGCCGGATCTAATATGTAAATGGCCTCCTAGAGGTTTTTTTTAAATATCAGCTGACTAACTTGAGGTCACTAAATTAGGTGATTTTTTTGTGGGGCTATTTGTGTTACTCAGTTGAAAACAAAAATTGGTTATTTTAAAACCACTGGGGCAGGTCTGCAATTGACAAACAGGGGAGTGGCCACCTGTAATTTTAACCAGCTCCTGATTGCAAAATCCAGGACCTGCTCCAGTCTCCATGGCCCTTCTGGGTGATTCTTTGTCTTTGTGGCGGGCTTCTGCCATTCTGTATTCACTCATTTGTATCCTTGTCTCGCGTGTCTACTATTATGGGCCAGACAGCTTCCTCCCCTTTGTCACCCTTGCAACTTGTTCTTAATCATTTTAAGGATTTTAGGGGTCGAGCTGCCAGATATTCTGGAGATCCTGTCTACCCTAAGCAACTAAGAACATTCTGTGAACTTGAATGGCCTTCCTTTGGTGTTGGGTGGCCTTCACAGGAAACTTATAACTTACAAGTCTCTCAACAGGTCCAACATGTCTCAAGTTATTTCCAGACCCCCCTCATAAGCCATCCATGCACCCTGATTAAGTGGTCTATATATCTAAGTTTGGATTGACTTGATCTAGGATCCACCCTCATGGATAAGAAAACTCCTATGGGAAGGACCCCGGGGGGAGGGTTGCAACCTCCTCTCACGGCAGTGATGAAAACTAAGATGTCACCTCCTCCCGAGGATTCCCCTCCTCTTCCCTGGCCCCCTCCTTACCGTCCTGATTCCTCAAGCTCACCGGAACCCTTTCCAAAGGCCCCTTCCCCTCCAACCCCAAACTCCCAGCTGTTATCCCCCACCACCCTCCTCCACACCCAGCCCTGACTCCACTGACCTACCCTCCATTCTACTCCTCGGAGAAGTTCCTCCATCAGACTCCTCTCAGGATCTTTCTTCACCTATGTCCCCTTCTCTACCAGTGATTTGTACAATTGGAAATTACAGAATCCGCCTTTCTCTAAGAACCCTCAGGCTCTAATATCTCTCCTTGAGACCCATTGGCTGATCTGAGATGACTGTCAACAGCTTTTGAAGACTCTCTTCACATCTGAGGAACACGAATGAATCCACACCTTGGCACACCAATTGGTCCTTGACACTTAACGGGGAACCCACTTTGGATCTAATGAGGCTCAATGCTGTTTTCCCTTTGACCCGCCCCAACTGGGACCCCAACACAGATGGAGGTAAGGAGGCTCTCGATTGGTACTGTCAGACTCTTCTTATGGCATTCCGAGCTGCTGCCCGAAAGCCAACTAATCTATCAAAAGTAACTGAGGTAAGACAATTGGCTTCTGAGTCTCCATCGGCTTTCCTTGAGCACCTCCTCGAGGCCTATACTATATATACACCTGTGGACCAGGAGGTACCAGAAAATAGACGAGCTATTAATATAGCATTTGTCTCTCAGTCGGCCCCTGATATTAAACCAAAGTTGCAAAAATTAGAGGGTCTTAAAGGGATGATGATAGGTCAGTTGATAGAGATAGCCCAAAAGGTTTTTGACAACAGGGAAGACATGCAAGAGAAGAAATTAGCCATGATCTTGGCTGTGCTAGCGGAAGGACATACGGCAAAAAGAGAAAAGACCAACTAACAAAGACTCTGCTAGACAAGAATCAATGTACACATTGCAAAAGAATTGGGCCACTGGAAGAAGGATTGTCCAAAGTTAAAGGCCAAATTGGAGAAAGGGGAAACCACCCCTCCATCCTATTGGAAAAAGACAATTTCAGGGTTTGCCTGCTCCTCCCGAGCCCCAGGGAACCTTAAGTGTGTGTGTGTGGGGGGCAACCCATAAATTTCCTGGTTGATACTGAAGCCAGTTACTCAGTATTGCAGTGCCCTCTTGGGGAGATATCCAAGAATACTCTAGCCATTCAAGGAGCCACGGGTAACATCTAGCATTACCCATGGATGTGAACTAAGATCACTCACTTGTGAAATCAGACTTTTAACTCACTCTTTCCATGTGGGTCCTGAATGCACTGAGCCCCTGCTTGGCCATGACTTACTTCATAAGCTCCAGGCTAACATTAGCTTTTCTGGGGATGCCCTTGCAGGCACAGTAACTACTGAAGACTTACCCGTAAGTCTCCTGATAACCCGCCCCATTACTGAGGGACACCTACTGATAGTTGAGCTATCCAAAGTACCCTTAGAGCTTCAGACCAAATTGCTGGACTTCTTCATGCATGAGATCCTTGTTGCTTGGGTGGAGATTGACCCTCCTGGACTGGCTATTAACCATGCACCCCTAGTCATAGAATTTTTACCTCATGTGACTCCCATCATGGTGTGCTAATACCCGCTCAGTCTCCAAGCCAGATTGGGAATCTTGAAACACATACAGAGGTTAAAAGAAGCAAATATTCTAATACCTTGTACTTCAGCCTGGAATACCCTGCTGCTCCCTGTCCAAAAGCCTGAAACTACAGACTCTAGCCCAGTCCAGGACCCAAGAGAGGTAAACAAGTGTGTTGTTACTCTTCACCCCACTGTCTCGAATCCTTATATGCTCTTAAGTCTTTTGCCTCCAGACCAGACTTGGTATTCGGTTCTAGATCTCAAGGATGCCTTCTTTACTTTTCCAATAGCTCCAGTAAGTCAACCTATTTTTGCCTTTGAATGGGGTTCTTTCCAATTGACCTGGACTAGGCTCCCACAGGGGTTCAAAAATGCTCCTACCTTGTTTGACAAAGCCTTGAGCAAGGACCTCCAAGAATACTGTGGTGAACACTCTGTGTTGCAATATGTTGATGACATCCTGCTGGTAGCCTCTAACAATAAAGGTTGCCTAACAGGCCACTTGAGATTTGCTATGCCTGCTCAGATGCCTGGGCTGCCATGTTTCAGCTAAAAAGGCCCAATTATCCCTGAACAACTATTTCTAAAATGATAATATGTAATCTATTAATTAGTGATTTCCTACTGTTTATTTTTTTGAAATTCTGTATGACTTGTACCCTTTTTCTGTTTTTTTTTTCTTTTTCTCCTTAAACAAAATTTTTTTAAAAAGGCCCACTATGCACGCAAGAGGTGACTTACTTAGGCTATATGCTTGTTGAGGGAAATCGCTTACTTTCAAACAAAAGAGTTCAGGTCATCCTCCAAATTCCTGAACCTCAGACTAAAAGGCAGATTCAGGAATTTTTAGCATCCATAAGCTATTGCTGCCTCTGAATACTGGACTTTGCTGAGTTGTCATAACCCCTCTATGCTGCAACTGCCGGAACCCCTTCTGACCCACCTGTTTGGGCCGAGAGGCAAAGTCAAGCATTCCAAAAACTAAAATTGGCCCATGCTCACGCCCCAGCATTGGCACTGCCAGATTTGACCAAACCTTCCTGCTGTTCATTGCAGAATAGCAAGGGATAGCAAAGAAAGTAGTGACTCAGATGTTGAGACCATGGTACTGCCCACACACATCTCTCAAAAAGGCTGACTCAGTTTCTTTGGGCTGGCTGAATTGCCTTTGAGACACCATGGCCACTGCCTTGATAATAAAAGAGACCAATACATTAGCCTTTGGACAGAAACTCCAAATTGTGGCACCTCACGCAATCGAAACCCTCCTCAGGGCTCCATCCAACAGATGGCTCTCAAACTCAAGGATTGTATGGTACAAGGCCCTCTTAACTCTGACCTTATTGAATTCAAGGAGACTACCATCTTTTTTTTTCTTTTTCCTTTTTATCAGTACCCGGGATTGAACTCATGACTGCCTGCTTGCAAGGCAGGTGCTTATGCCACTGAGCTAAATCCCCAGCCCCAAGACTACCATCTTAAACCCAGCAACTCTGAGGCCAGACGATGACCCACAAGTACCCATTCATGATTGCATGGACTTGCTCTCTACTACTGCCAGTCTCCGTCAAGACCTTATTGGTCTTCCATT